ATGGATGGACAAATGAATGGATGGACAAAATGGGTGAATTGACAAATGGATGGATGGACAAATTAATGGATGGACAAAATGGGTGGATGGACAAATGGATCGATGGACAAATGGATGAATGGGCAATTGGATGGATGGATAAATGGATGGATGGACAAATGAATGGATGGACAAAATGGGTGGATGGACAAATGGATCGATGGACAAATGGATGAATGGGCAATTGGATGGATGGATAAATGGATGGATGGACAAATGAATGGATGGACAAATGGATGGATGGACAAATGGATGGATAGGCAAATGGATGGATGGGCAAATGGATGGATGGACAAATGGATGGACGGACAAATGGATGGATGGACAAATGGATGGATAGGCAAATGGATGGATGGGCAAATGGATGGATGGACAAATGGATGGACGGACAAATGGATGGATGGACAAATGGATGAATCGACAAATGAATGAATGGACAAATGGATGAATGGACAAATTGATGGATCGACAAATGGGATGGATTTAAACAAAGATAGAGATGGACTTATGGATGGATGGAGGCAGGGTTGATGGACAAATGAATGTATGTACAAATGGATAGATGGACAAATGGATGGACAATGGGATGGGTAGACACAAAGGTCGAGATGGACAAATAGATGGGTGGACAAAGGTATAATATGAGACTAGACTTGAGTCTCAATAGGGCATATTATGTGAACTGGAACACGGTAGAATTTTCGTGTTAAAAAGTGGGCTCCACCCCCTCTCCAGAGTTTCTTTCAGGCATCTCTTTTACTAGTGTCCGCCCCCCCCCCCCCCCCGAAAAATGTTGACCGCCCCCCCCCCCCCGAAAATTTCCAGTGCCCCCCCCCCTGGAGAAAAAAAGTCTGGAAGAAACACTGCCCCTCTCTCTGCCGCCTCATTACAAAACAACAACCCTGCCCAAATTCTAACACTAACAACAATCCTACAGCACTAAGGAGCTAGTGTAGGCGTTACCCTCCTTTTCATAGTCAGTTTTTCTTGAACCTAAATATAAAACAAAATGACGGTTTTCCCCCATTTATTTTTGTCATCCAACAAGAATGCGTACACAACAAGGCATGACGTCACAGGGTCCAGTGGACCGGCTTGGACATGTTCCCCCTGAGTGAAACGAGCCAGGATTTATCGCTTTTTACCGAATTACCTCCCCTAACATCAGGTCAAGCATGTTTATTTTCAGGGGAGAGAACGTCGGTTTTCTTTCAATACCTCCCCTTAATTTTTTTTCCCCGTTTTACTTTTCAAACGATCACAAAATTGTTTTTGTTGTTTACCGATGACTAGATGTTAAAATATGTTATCAGTTAATTAAACTTAACAGAGAAAATAGCAGTTATTAACAATCCTTTTGATATCCTTGTGGCAGAATTAATTGTTTTCTGTTAGTCGACATTTTAGGAAGTATCTTTGCTTGAGTTTTTTAATGTCAGGTTTAATTTCCAAACATAGTGCTGACCTCATTGTCACAGAGACAGGTGAACTCTACTTCACCTGCCCCATGGGACTTCAGGTTCGAAAGGGAACTTTTACTTTTTACTTTGGATTTCCCAGCTAGATTTGAACACCTCACAGTTAATTTGTGGAGAGCGCTGGTATATAATTAGCCGCAGATTATGGGTAAAAATATATATCAGTTGCAATCCGACATTCTCCCTAACTCAACCAAACACGGAAACGCGGCCAAAAGTCAGTGGCGTCACTAGGCGGTGGCGGGGATGGCGGGGGTGCGGTATACACAAGGTAACTACATACTAGACGGTGAAGTAAGTAGTAAGTAAAGTTCCCTTTTTTCGAACCTGACGAATTAAGGGGCAAGTGAAGTAGAGTTTAGCTGTTTCTGTGACGTCAGCATATGCAGAGATGGTGTGGTCTGGTCAGCACCATGCCCAGCCGCCTTTACTTTACCTAACGTGAGTCATGTACCCATCAGAGCTGGGTGGACGCAAGGACGTTCTACCGACCTGAACCAGGATTTGAACTCAAGACATTTATGTTAGCAGTCTAGAGCTCTACCGCTCTACCCCGTGCCATCAGTTACAGAAAAAACAATGTGTTATTCATTACAAAAATAGAGGGAGAGGGGTGACACTTAACCAAAAATACACAACATCTTCAGTTACCGGTGACACCAGACCTAGTGAAGCTTAGTCAAAGGCATAACCAGTGGCGTAGCCAGGATCGTCTCAAGGGAGGGGGTCCAATTTTTACCTGGGGACAAACTTTCGATTTGCACCCCTCCCCCTCAGACTTTTGATTTGCACCCCCCCCCCCCTCAAACTTTCGATTCGCACCCCCCTCATACTTTATATATATATATATACCGAGGGGTCTATGGGGGAAGGGGGTTATGACCCCCCCCTACCCCCCCCCTGCCTACGCCACTGGGCATGATCATAATTAATAATAATATTAAATCTCCTAATGTATAAAATAGTTTCCTTATTTTGCATAACAATTACAATTACATTATGAACGCCCTTAAAGTGTTTCTAATATCATATTTGATTCTGTTGATTAAGAAATCAACCATTCTAGTCTAGCAGTTTAATTAAAAAATTACAGCCTAATAAATTGTTTCGTTATTATTTATTTATACTAAAATAAACAAATGTATTTTAAAACTATATTTAGTCTGCGAAAAATAATTCCCATTTCGAGAAACACAAGATGCGAATGAAGATGCTACGAAGGTTTCTATTGAACCAAGCGTTGCTAGGATACGGCTATTGTTTCTGAGTGACGTAGCTTAGCTTTAGGCGCCAACCATTTGTTTATGTTTTGTTCAAGCAAGTTTTTAAGGTTTGTTGCTATTTATCTCATTAGTATTTTAAAAAAAAATTAATGTGAGTTTATGACGCTAATTAAAGAATAATTAAATATACTTGTATATTGATTGATGTGAGCCTTACAAGGCTTATTTTGTTTGATTTCTATGTAGATTTATTTTCTGTATTTTTTAAAGAAGGTGCCTTTGTTTACATTAGAAAAAATGCGAAATTTTAATAAAACATGACACATTTTAATAAAGATAATATGTACATTTGAAGTTAAATATCACGTTATTTAGATCAAAAGCCTTAGGATTAGGATTAAGCAGTGGCGTAGCGAGGTCGGGTGTCACCGGGTGCGGCACTTAATGGTGTCATCACCACCAAAGGCGTAGCGACCCTTCCCGGGGACAAATTTTCGATTTGCACCCCCCCCCCCCTCAAACTTTCAATTTGCACCCCCCTCCTCAAGTTTTTCTCTATATATTTTGCTATTTTTTGCCTTTGTGTCACCCCCCTAAATGGTGTCACCCGGTGCGGTCCGCACCCCCCGCCGCCCCCCCCCCCCCTCGCTACGCCTCTGGGATTAAGTTTAGGTGCAGTAGAGGACAAAGGATTGTTTTACTGTAATTGTAGATGTTCGATAGGTAATACAGTATCGTTATAACGATTTTTTTTTATTTGACGGTATCACATCAAAGGCTAGTCAGCTTTACGATAAGGGTATGGTTTATAGTAAAGTAAACACATAGAAGGCCAACTAATTCTATATAGATGAAGTAGAGTTGGTCAGTTTTTTTGGAATTCAATATATATGTGGGTCAGCCCTATGACGCTGTTTTTTTTATTATCTTAATCAGCTGATTACATATGGGGGCGTCATAAGGATTCAAACTCAAACCTTTCAGATTAGTAAGTCTAGAGTTCTATTACTCGGCCTAGACCCAAGTTGGGGTAGGTATTATGGTAGTGGTGGTGACATATACATTGCAAATGCCAGGCCTAAAAGTATTAGGGTTCAAGAAAACATCAGCATCTTTTCTCTATCATGACTCAAAATCCAGAGGCGTAGCGATGGGGGGGGGTACATATGTCCCCGGGCGCCGACCTTATGGGGCGCCAAAATGGGTTGTAAAAACAAATTAAAATGTCAATTTAGCTGCATTTTGCAGTTTGACGGGGGGGGGGGGGTTGCAAATCGAAAGTTTGAAGGGGGGTGCAAATCGAAAAGGTTGAGGCGGGGGGGAGTGTGCAAATCGAAAAGTTGAGGCGGGGGTGTGCAAATCGAAAAGTTGAGGGGGGTGCAAATCGAAAAGTTGAGGGGGGGTGCAAATTGAAAATTTGCTCCCGAGTGGGGCGCCAAATTGAAAGTTTGTCCCCGGGCGCCGGGAAGGGTCGCTACGCCTCTGCCAAAATCACATGGGGCAGGTGAAGTAGAGTGCGGCAGTGCTCTGTTTAAATGATCTCGACATACAAGGGGCAGTGTTGGACACGAACGGGAAAATTATTTTTTCCGCCGAATATTAGTTGATAGTAGAGTTAACATTAGATATAGATTGACTTTTTTGTATGTAAGGAATAAAGTAGGCCCCTACTCACTATATTGTTATAGAAAGACTCGTGTTTAGTTTGTTTATGTGAACATAGTAGCAGGCCTTTAAGGAAAGGATAAACTACCTACTACATTTCATATATCTATATACTTATTCACTTGCATAACAGTTAGGGGTTGGCTTAAGGAATGAAACATGTGAAATCTTACCAGAGTACAACATTACTGTAGTATTTTAATTTTAATTAGATTTAGTAAAACAAGGCACCCCACTAACCCTCATCCTCCCCCCCCCCCCTAAATGTTGAACTTTCTTTTCCTATTCAGTCAGCAAGTCATAAAGTCAGCGCAACGCATCACGTGATCAATGGCCGCTACGGAGTAGCATGTACAGTGAACTAGCCCTCAACGCCAACACCACCACTGTATACAACCACACCACCACTGTATACAACCACACCACCACTGTACACAACCACACCGGCACTGCTCACCTCCCGACCCCCAACTTGACCGACGTCAGCCACAACACCACCGGTCACTACACCAGCCGGACCACTCACACAGCGAACTACACCACCACCAACCCCACGACACACAACCACCACACCACCACCAGCAACCGCGCCGTCATGCTGCACATCTCTGGGAAAGGCCAGTCAGGTAGGGCGGTCCCTCCACCTCGTCACGAACTGACGGACAGCAACAACTGCCCACTGGACTTCTTCTCCTTACGGTAAAAAAAAAACTTTTACTGTCCTGCCTGTACTTAATCCTAATCTGAGTTAAATTCAGTGGCGTAGCCAGGATCGTCTCAAGGGGGGGGTCCAATTTTTACCCGGGGACAAACTTTCTATTTGCACCCCCTCAAACTTTCGGATTTGCACCCCCCCCCCCCTCAAAATTTTGATTTGCACCCCCCCCCCCCTCATTCTTTATATATATACCGAGGGGTCTATGGCGAGGGGGTTATGACCACCCCTAACCCACACCCCCTCCCCCTTGCCTACGCCACTGGTTACATTAGCGAGGTTTTTGCACGCACTGAATACTTTATCATTGTTTGTTGTGTACGGACCAGTGTTTCTTTCAGACTTTTTTCTCCCGCGTGGGGGGTGGGGGGGGGGCACTTGATATTTTCGGGGGGGGGGGGGGGGGGGAACGACTAAATTTCACGGGAAGCGGACACTGGTAAAAGTCTATATTTTCTATATTACTTCCATTTCGTTCGGGGGGGGGGTGTAAACTTTCTACAGAGCCCCCCCCCCCCACCCCCCCCCCCCCCGCCCCCAACCCACCCCCGAATAGATGCCTGGAAGAAACAGTGATACGGACTTTCTCTAGTTTTACCCTTTAAATTTTCTACGTGTACTTCATCCTAATTGAATATATATTTGCCATGCTTTTGTACTTACTAAATCTCTACTTTATTATTATTTTTGTGCATGTGAGCTTTTTAACGTACTGAATATATTCTCATTATTTGTTCTATATCTAACGGAATTTATTTTATCTTCTGTATGAAACTATTTTCACTATGGAAAGTTTATCGTTATTAGTTTATTAAGGCGTGGTTATTTTTCGCTTAGTTATTAAGTCATGCATGTAAATATAAGGTTTTATAAGTTTACTTGTTTCTCTGTCCTCGCTTTTTGAACGGTAGTCTTGTTTGGGAACAGGGCATTACCCCCTCTTCCCCGACATTCCCCCCCCCCCCCGGAGTAATTACCCCGCCTGTCAATTACCCCCCCCCCCCGCCCAGTAATACATTACCCCCCGAACAAGGTTAGGATTAGGGCTAGGGTTAGGGTTAGGGTTAGGGTTAGGGTTAGGGTTAGAGTTAGGGTTAGGGTTAGGGTTAGGGTTAGAGTTAGGGTTAGGGTTAGGGTTAGAGTTAGAGTTAGAGTTAGGGTTAGGGTTAGGGTTAGGGTTAGGGTTAGGGTTAGGGTTAGGGTTAGAGTTAGAGTTAGGGTTAGGGTTAGGGCTATGGCTAGGGTTAGGGTTAGGGTTAGAGTTAGGGTTAGAGTTAGGGTTAGGGTTAGGGTTAGAGTTAGAGTTAGAGTTAGGGTTAGGGTTAGAGTTAGGGTTAGGGTTAGAGTTAGAGTTAGAGTTAGTGTTAGGGCTATGGCTAGGGTTAGAGTTAGGGTTAGGGTTAGAGTTAGAGTTAGAGTTAGAGTTAGAGTTAGAGTTAGGGTTAGGGCTATGGCTAGGGTTAGGGTTAGGGTTAGAGTTAGGGTTAGAGTTAGGGTTAGGGCTAGGGTTAAGGTTAGGCTTCAAACAATGTCTAGCATTGGTTTTGTTTTACGTTTTAGGCTGAGGTGGTTGCTTAGGTTTTGGTCTTTTTTTAAGGTTAGAATTAAGGTAATATATAGGTATAGACTTTGATTGGGTGGGGGGGGGGGGTGTATTCCCCGGGGGGGGGCGGTAATTGACGGGCGGTAATTGATCAAGAGTAATTAATTAGATGTGGTCAGTAAGAATTGGTTCCATTTCAACACGCCAGCCACCTTACCAGCGAGACAAAATACAATTTCCACAGCCTGAAAAACTACTACGAGATTCTCGTCATCAACGAGACTTCGGTCGAGATGAGGTGCCTCAAAAACTACCACCACGTGACCGGCTCCCGGTTCACCAGCTGCATGGAAAACGGCTCTTGGAGCGGCATGGAGATGATCTGTGAAGTAGACTACTTCAAGTAGGCTTTTGTGTATCTGTGAAGTACTATTACAAGTAGGCTTTTGTGTATCTGTGAAGTACTATTACAAGTAGGCTTTTGTGTATCTGTGAAGTAGACTACTTCAAGTGCTTTTGTGCGAATATTGGTTGCCGATTTCTTATCAAAAGTCTTTTTGTTTTATAATAACAATTAGTCTAGCTAAGAACAATGAATATATATATATATATATATATATATATATATATATATATATATATATATATATATATATATATATATATACACTTATCCCCATCCCTATCTCTCTATAAATATAAAATATTTATTATATATTTATATACATAATATTCATTTATTTAATTATTATATTTAATTATACTTAATATATTTGTTTATTTCTTAATTTGCCACATGTACATATATCTATCTGTATAGCTTTTCCCGTTCGTACCCAAGACACATGGGGCAACTGAAGTAGAGTTCATCTGCTTCAAAGACCTCGGCATATGAATTGAAGGTGTGATCAGCCGCATTTGGTTCCCTAACGTGAGATAGGTACCCATCAGAGCTGAGTGGACTCAGGGACGTTCAACTGACGTCTATTTGATTATCTATCTAACAATCTGTATACCACGCGATCTACTTCTACATTAGAATCTATTTGTTATAAAAAAAATTATATACACATTGCAACACTAGCTTGAATTCTGCAAATCAATGACACTAAAGCGATGGTTTTGTTTTTTCGTATCTTCCCCAGAGAGAGACACAGACTGAGCATCTTTATAGTCTTTCTCTCGTTGATGTCGTCCTTCGTATTTCTGGGATCGGATTTTTTCTTTTTCATGAAGAAAAAGTACGTCTGTTTCATCATTCATGTTATCTGTTATCTGTTATTTGTTATCTGTTGTTTTTTTTCTTTTTCAAAACCTTCGGCTATCGCTAATTTTACATTTTATTTTTTACTGTTATCCCACTCCCCTCCCCTCCTACTAACCTCCTGTCCTACTTATCTCCTCTCTGTCGCTCTTCCTCTCTTTCTCTCTCTTTCTCTCTGCCCCTCTTCCTCTCTGCCCCTCTTCCTCTCTGCCCCTCTTCCTCTCTTCCTCTCTGCCCCTCTTCCTCTCTGCCCCTCTTCCTCTCTGCCCCTCTTCCTCTCTGCCCCTCTTCCTCTCTGCCCCTCTTCCTCTCTGCCCCTCTTCCTCTCTGCCCCTCTTCCTCTCTGCCCCTCTTCCTCTCTGCCCCTCTTCCTCTCTGCCCCTCTTCCTCTCTGTCTCTCTGCCCCTCTTCCTCTCTTCCTCTCTTTCTCTCTGCCCCTCTTCCTCTCTGCCTCTCTTCCTCTCTGCCCCTCTTCCTCTCTGTCTCTCTGCCTCTCTTCCTCTCTTTCTCTCTGCCCCTCTTCCTCTCTGCCCCTCTACCTCTCTGCCCCTCTTCCTCTCTTCCTCTCTTTCTCTCTGCCCCTCTTCCTCTCTTCCTCTCTTTCTCTCTGCCCCTCTGCCTCTCTACCTCTCTACATCTCTTCCTCTCTTCTTCTCTGCTCACCCTCCCAGCGTTCCCACAATCCTCCAAGCGAGACATGTGAGCCACTGCTTGTCCACCACACTCCCAAACTGTTCATCCAATGCCCTTGACCTTGACCCCCGAGCGCGCCCTCGGCTAGCCAGACAGCTGTGGAGTCACTGATCCATGACGGCTATCATCTGAGACGGCTAAGCGTCATCAGGCCTGAAAAAAGGCGACCGCACGTGGGAGAGTGAGTTTACGAAAACGTACTTCGATACACCATCCTAAAAATCAAGGTCGTTGCAAGCAAGGTCGTTCAACGCAAGGTCATTTGACGCACGGCCACAAATAGTAATGTCATTAGAAGCAAAGTCATCAACAGCGAGGTCACTAATTATAAGGTCATCAAAAAAACAAGGCCATTATCAGCAAGGTCAGCATCTGCAAGGTCATCAGCAGCAAGGTCATCATCAGCAAGGTCATCATCAGCAAGGTCATCAGCAGCAAGGTCATCAGCAGCAAGGTCATCATCAGCAAGGTCATCATCAGCAAGGTCATCAGCAGCAAGGTCATCAGCAGCAAGGTCACCAGCAGCAAGGTCATCGATAGTAAGGTCACCAATAACAAAATCATAAAAAAAAACCAAAGCAAGGTTATAAAAAGCAAGGTCATCACATACTAAATCAACAGCAAGGTCACCCCCCCACACACACACCACAGTCGTCCCACACTCCCCCTGCCCCATCCTCCCTTTCTGACCCTTTTTACCTTGACCTTGACAGGTTGGAGCTAAAAGTTGAAAAGAGGAGGCTCGCGTCTTTCAACAGGCGGCGCACCATGGAGTTGGGGTACCACACCAGGTTCGTAATGAACAGGGAGTGGTCTCCGTGCGTAAATCAGAGGCGTAGCGACCCTTCCCGGCGCCCAGGGACAAACTTTCAATTTGGCGCCCCCCCCCTCCCCATTCTCCCCGGAACCAAACTTTCAGTTCCCCCCCCCCTTTATATATTGTAAAATTTATAATGCAAAGCTGCAGCTAAAATGAACTTTTTCCCCGGAGCCCGGGGACATATGTACCCCCCTGCCCTCCTTCGCTACGCCTCTGGCGTAAATGGGTCTGAGGGAGTGGGGGTGGTCACCATACAAGGTGGGTTTCAGGTAGATTACCATGCTATATTAGTCTGTGAGGGGGCTCTTACTAGATAGGTTTGAAGGGGGGGGGTAACAATATTAGGTTTGTTTGTGTTAGGTTATCATACCAGGTGTGTCCGGGGGGGGGGGGTGGTCATACAACGTAATGGGGGGGGGGGGGGGGGAGAGTATGGATGAGACTTCACTCACGTTTGGAGAGAGAACTTCAAAATCAAACATCTGCTGCCTTGTAGTTTGTTCTTGGTTGGACAAAGGGCTATGGACATAAATATAAAATAGATTAGCAGTCTGAAATTTGAGTCAACAGCCTACACGGCGAATACCAAGTTGACACGTAATACTTAATTGTGTTGGATAAAATCTCTTCCAAAACTTGAATTAAGAACAACAAAGAAGAAGGATACGTCAGCGCTATTGACCATAAGGATTGTGGGAACAAAGTGGGAATAGCTGATTATGCTCGAGGTACGGCTTGGCAGGGTGGTAGTGTGTATCAAGTTCGGATTCCGGTTGAGTCAGTCTGACTTCCCAGAGTACACCCAGCTCTAATGAATACCTGGCATACTTTAGAAAATTTAAACTATTGGTTTTGGCATATTACTGACAAAGCTCTATTCGAACGAGGTCTTGGAAACAGCTAAACTCTACTTCACCTGCCCTATGCTGGTCTCTACTCTCTACAGGTGTCTGGCGTATCCGATCTACGGTCTCTCAGACCTGGTGCTGTACCTGCCTGAGATTGGTCAGTTCGTTGATATACGTCAGAGCACGCGCCTCCGTGAGAAGCAGTACGGCAATATACTGTGAGTAGATGTTGACTTGTTTGGTCAATAGGTTTTGGTGATGTTGTCTTGTTTGGTAATGTTGTCTTGTTTGGTAAATGTGTTTGGTGATGTTGTCTTATTTCGTCAATGCGTTTGGTGATGTTGTCTTGTTTGGTGATGTTGTCTTGTTTGGTAATGTTGTCTTGTTTGGTAAATGTGTTTGGTGATGTTATCTTATTTCGTCAATGCGTTTGGTGATGTTGTCTTGTTTGGTGGTGTTGTCTTGTTTGGTGATGTTGTCTTGTTTGGTGATGTTGTCTTGTTTGGTGATGTTGTCTTGTTTGGTGATGTTGTCTTGTTTCGTCAATGCGTTTGGTGATGTTGTCTTGTTTGGTGATGTTGTCGTGTTTGGTGATGTTGTCTTGTTTGGTGATGTTGTCTTGTTTGGTGATGTTGTCTTGTTTCGTCAATGCGTTTGGCGATGTTGTCTTGTTTGGTGATGTTGTCTTGTTTCGTCAATGCGTTTGGTGATGTTGTCTTGTTTGGTGATGTTGTCGTGTTTGGTGATGTTGACTTGTTTGGTGATGTTGTCTTTTTTGGTGATGTTGTCTTGTTTCGTCAATGCGTTTGGTGATGTTGTCTTGTTTGGTGATGTTGTCTTGTTTGGTGATGTTGTCTTGTTTGGTGATGTTGTCTTGTTTGGTGATGTTGTCTTGTTTGGTGATGTTGTCTTGTTTGGTGATGTTGTCTTGTTTGGTGATGTTGTCTTGTTTCGTCAATGCGTTTGGTGATGTTGTCTTGTTTGGTGATGTTGTCGTGTTTGGTGATGTTGTCTTGTTTGGTGATGTTGTCTTGTTTGGTGATGTTGTCTTGTTTCGTCAATGCGTTTGGTGATGTTGTCTTGTTTGGTGATGTTGTCTTGTTTGGTGATGTTGTCTTGTTTGGTGATGTTGTCTTGTTTGGTGATGTTGTCTTGTTTGGTGATGTTGTCTTGTTTGGTGATGTTGTCTTGTTTCGTCAATGCGTTTGGTGATGTTGTCTTGTTTGGTGATGTTGTCGTGTTTGGTGATGTTGACTTGTTTGGTGATGTTGTCTTGTTTGGTGATGTTGTCTTGTTTGGTGATGTTGTCTTGTTTCGTCAATGCGTTTGGTGATGTTGTCTTGTTTCGTCAATGCGTTTGGTGATGTTGTCTTGTTTCGTCAGTGCGTTTGGTGATGTTGTATTGTTTGGTGATGTCGTGTTTGGTGATGTTGGCTTGTTTTACTATGGTCAATTTGATTTCTGATGTCACTTTGTATCCCTATGAGCAATTTGTTTGGTGATGTTAAAGTCTGTTAATTTAGGCCACATTTTTGCGATGTTAACTCTTGTTAATTTAGTCAATTCTTTTGGCGACTTTAACTTATTAACATCAGAAAGAAGAGTAGCCAAACATAATGCCGCTTCTCCATATTAAGAGCTCTTTTCAAGACTGGTGTGTACGTATATATAGCATGGCTTTAGCTTACATAGGTGACTGGATAGATGCGCAACAGAAAACAGCGCACAAAAAAGTGCGCAAGGGCATTGTTAATGTTTTCTTAAATCGAGTATTTTTTTTTAAAATAATAATAATAATTAAACATTAGCAATGAGTGAATACAAGTACACTGTATCATAATAAAACGTATTTCCACGAGATATAATAAAATCAAAGTGTATTAGTATAACTGGTTTATGTTTGCGCATTTTTTCGTTGCGCAGTTTTCCGATTGCGCATTTTTTCCGGGAACCGTTTCCTTAACACGACATGGTTTGGTCGGACGATTCAGCGAATAACTGCTAAGACACAAGTCTATCGAACTCGGATGGGTACCTGATTGAGATTAGAGTAGGGATACTGACAGCGTCTGGGCATAGTGTTGACCACACTATCCTTGTACATGCTAAGGTTACAGAAACTAATTCTACATCATCAGCACAACTGATCGCCAAAAACTGAAATAGTAACTTCGTTCACTAACTATTAAAGCTCATGTAATCATTAAGGTATTTTTATTTTTAATAATTAGGAAAAAGGCCTACTTCTTTTCAACATACAATTCAAATAAAAACACATAAAACACGAACAATTTAACAATCAGAAACCATTTATATTACATCTTTAACTACCCATGCACAGCAGTTTCAAATCAGCCGCGCAGTAATTTCGTAAAATCCAAACATCCTTCTATATGACTTTTAGAACACCGCGCACGGCAACAGGACATTACCCCCCCCCCCCCCGGAAATTACCCCCCCCCCCTCCGGATATTTCCCCACGTATTTATCCCCTGGAGAAAATACCCCTCCCCCTGTCATTTACCCCCCCCCCCCTCAAGTTAGAATAATAATTCTAACTAGAATTCTATACCTGTTTATTACCTTAATCCTAACCTAAAAAAAAAAGACCACAACCTAAGCATCCACCTCAGCCTAAAACTTAACACAAAACCAAAACCAACGCTAGACACAGCCCTATCCATAGCTATAGCCCTAACCCTAGCCCTAACCCTAACCCTGTCCTGGGGGGGGGGGGGGGGAGGATAATGTCCTACTGGGCGGGGGGGGGGGGGTAATTCACAGGGGGGGGTAATTACTTAGGGGTAATGTCGGGGGGGGGGTCCGGGAAGGGGTAATTGACGGTGGGGGGGGGTAATGCCCTGTTCCCCTACGCACACAAGATACATACTGCTCATTAGCTTTTTTTCTCTGAAAGGGAAGTTTGAACCCATGTCTAATGCGTTCGTCCATAAATAACGTCACACTCATAGGGGGGAGGGGGTTCAGATGGTGTGACGTCACACTTTTGCATTATAAAAAAAAGCAATGATAGAAAACGAGTTTTATTCGTCATTTCGCGTTTTAGAAAACTGTTTTGATAAATTGTAGTAGGAATTGATCAAAATACTTTATGTTGACAGAGTTTAGACAAGAATTAAAAAAAAAATATATGGATGTTTTAAGCACAAATTCACCTGCAATTTTGAGGGGGGGGGGGGTGGGTTGTAGGCTGCGGTATGACGTCATTTTAGGGTGAAGGGGGGGGTCTGGCTTTTTGTGACGATGTGTGACGGAGAAGGTAAGAGGTAAAATTCGTCCGAAAAAACTGTGACGTCATTTATGGATGACCCTTCCCCCCCCCCCCCCCCCCCCATCAATCCGATTGAAAAAATTTAAAATCCATCACAGGGAAGCGAGGTTGAAAATCCCGCAGGATCAGTATCGCGATTCGATGGCGGAAACATGCGAGATCGAGACACAGGCACGGCGCAAGGGAACAGTGGACTTGAAATCCATCGACTCGGAGTACGGCTTCCACGCAGGTGAGAGCACACGGTTCCGGTGATGCTAAAAATAGATTGCTTTCCGGTCAATGTATGCTAAAAATAGTTTACCGGTCTGCTGAAAATAAGATTGTTTTCCGGTCAATGTATGGTAAAAATAGTTTACCGGTCTGCTAAAAAAAAAGTTGATAAAAATTCTAGTGACAATTTAAGCGCAATTTCCCCATAGGTCTATATCTATATATTGCTATATTGTACTGTAGTGTATTATGTATAATGTAACTTTAAAAAAAAATGTGTGACCGAACGAAAGGATATTTTTGAAAACTTTCTTCGGCAATATTGTTCTAAATTATAGCAGAAATCGATTGGTAAATGTTTCAAGTCGCTAAGTGGTCTGGTTGCCGAGATATGGGCCAAAAACTGCATTTTTTTCGAGGTGTTTTGGCTTTTCCGGGAAATCCAGGAAGGAATTTCGGAATTTTTTTGGCCCACAATCATCCTCGGAACTTGCTTAACATATTTGCTTTGAAACTAGTCCTCGATATTGCTTCGTTGAGGAGGAGATACGACTTAAAGCTGCGGACACACATCCATCACCAGAAATGACGAGTTAATAATCGCAATTGTCTAGTATGGAAATTGCGCTAAAAAGTTGTTTTCTGTCTCGAGTAAGTTTTAAAAAAAAATTAGTTTGGTCGAGTGGTGCTAAAATTAGATATTACGTGCGTTGACACGTGACTTTAACGGCCCAATCTAGGAAAACGTCATGTCTAATTACTGTAATGCTGTCATCTTTGTCTTTTTCAGTGTCGAAAGGTGGGCACAGGACGGCAAAAGATAAAAAAGAGGTAGGAAAACTATATATATATATATATATATATATATATATATATATATATATATATATATATATATATATATATATATATATATATATATATATATATATATATATATATATATATATATATATATATATATATATATATATATATATATATATATATATATATATATATATATATATATATATATATATATTATATCGCTTCCCTAGAGCCAGACTGTTCTTACTCCACTTTTTTAAACTGTTTGCAAAAAGGTTTTAATATATATATATATATATATATATATATATATATATATATATATATATATATATATATATATATATATATATATACATGCACATAAATATATATATTTATTTATTTATACACGTATATATATATATATATATATATATATATATATATATATATATATATATATATATATATATATATATTGTGTGAGAGAATGAATATTTGCATAAGATCCAGTAATAACATGAGTGTTTTAGTTTATGATAAGACCTTTGACCTATCCAAGGTAAGAACTTTGACCTTTCGATGTTTTTCACTTTACAGTTCTACAGCCGAGGGCTGATGCTATTCCGGTTGCGGCAACACCGCTCAAACAAGGATGGAGGCTACGCTACTACCTAGCTGCACAATCATACAATCACACAATCATTCACACAATCATACTCTTCCGCCAAGCTGCATACAGCACAGTCATACAATCATTCACACAAGCTACCACCTAGCTTTACATGGCACAATAATACAATCATTCACACAATCATACGCTACTACCTAGCTGCACAATCATAAAATCACACAATCATTCACACAATCATACTCTTTCACCAAGCTGCATACAGCACAGTCATACAATCATTCACACAAGCATAAACTACCTCCTAGCTTTACATGGCACAATAATACAATCATTCACACAATCATACGCTACTACCTAGCCGCACAATCACACAATCATTCACACAAGCATACGCTACCTCCTGGCTTCACAATCATACAATCACGTAGCTTAACACATCACAACAAGCTACGTTCTACCTTTCTTAGGACATTCCTTCATTCACCTTTCTTTTCTAGGATACGCCTGTATCTATACCCTGTATATTATTCAGTGACTATTTTGTAAAAAAATTAATATACATGTAGGTATAATGTAAACTTAAGAGCAAACTGTGTAAGCATTTTTATAATTCAAATTGTCAAAAATTAATCGTATCTATCTCTTTAACTTACAAATGTTGATTTAAACCTAACTATTTTTAAGGTATAAATACATTTAATGTATATGATTTATCTATATATATAAAATAAATGTAATATATAAGGACATTCACATGGCATTCACATCCGGCATAGATATGTATTTTTTTTAATTCATACATTCTCCATTACATTCTTATGTATTTTTCCATTACATGCTTATGGTTTTTTTTTTCAATTGCATGCCAAATGTATTACCTTTACATGTCGAATGTATTACTTTTACATGTCAAATGTATTTCTAAATAACATGTCCAATTTGTTTTTCCTATTATATTTAAAATGTTTCTTTTTTTTACATTTACATTGGTTTTTTCTATTTCATGCCGAATGTTTTTCAACTGCATTTCAAATATGTTTTATTTCATGACATTTTTAATAACATGCGATGTATTTTCACCCTGTGATTTTTAGGTAATGTAAGTTGATTTCTTTTTCTCATGAGGTCGGGGGTCGATCGCCCACCCCCAATATTCTTAAGTACAACTGCTTGTCCTTTGTATCGTAGACTTAAGATAAATGTGTCTTTATTTTGTATGTTCGCTTCATAACAATGTTACTAGTGTATAGGAATTACATTTTAGTCAAACTGAAATTATATGACGTGTTTATGGTATTTGCTTGAAACTTTTTTTTCCATAAAGCATATAATACATATTTTTGTATGAACAAAAATGCTTAACTTAAGCTCATTTGTAAACTGTTTCCTACGTATGCTCAAGTGCCATAAAGATTATGTAAATGTCAATTAAATCTGTTTTAATTGGAGAGTTTAATTAAAATTGAATTGTTTTAAAATCGTTTTTCGTCATATTTTTCCACCTTTTACCAGTTCGTACAATGAGTATCTATCATATTCTTCAATGTTCGTACAAAAAGATATCACTGATTTCACAGTCAATATTTCTTCCAGACTTTTTTCTCCGGGGGAGGGGGGAGAGGAGCACTTGAAATTTTCGGGGGGACGGGGACGGGACGTTATAAATTTCGTTCGGGGGGCGGTAGACTTTCTTCGGGGGGGGGGGCTGTGTCCTTCGAAGAGATGCCTGGAAGAAACTCTGTTCACAGTTCGTACAAATAGTATCTGTCAAATTATTCAAAGGTCGAACAAAAGATATCTGACACTGTATTCACACTTCGAACATAAAGTATCGCTCATTTTATTCACAGTTCGTACAAAAAAGTATCACTGTATTCACACTTCGAACATAAAGTATCGCTCACTGTATGTACCGTTCGAACATAAGTATAAACAACCATAACCAAATGTATTTATGTTCATTTTTCAAATCTTTATTTTTCAAAACGAAACCAACAAACAGTATCAACGAGTAATTACAAACAAAACAGTATTTAAAAAATATAGTTGGCACAAGAACTAGCCATAGTAACAATTTACTTTTAAAAAAATAACCTAACAATAGTTTCTACATCTTAAAATCAACAAATTAAATATCTTTACAATTACAAAGATCCACAATTAAAAAACCCCGAATAAAACCCATTAAGCTTTACGATTCATTGACATATAAAATATAATTTTAAATCTAACAATTAACATTTTTATACTTATATTTTCAGCAAAAGACATACACGACAACTAATTTTATAATTATATTTTCCAATTAACTGAATAAAACATTTTAAATGCATCTAATGTTTAAATATACTCATTAAAATTGTTACTAAATTGATTACAAACAAAAATTGTCTTAATAAATTTTTCAATAAAAATACAACACATAATACAATGACCAAAATGGTAACAAGGCATGGGACTTACATGTGTAAAGAAACACTAATACAAACTAGAAATGTTAAAAACCAACGGGAAAATACATGGTCACATAATATATGGCCACCTAGACTTTGGCATAACATTATGGCCACACAAACTATGGCCATCTAGCATATGGCTACATAACATATGGCCACCTAGCCTGTGGTAATTTTTGTTTAGGCTCGGCGAGGAATGTGGTCATTTTTCTTTAGGCTCTTGAGAGGAATGTGGTCATTTTTCTTTAGGCTCTTAAGAGGAATGTGGTCATTTTTCTTTAGGCTCTTGAGAGGAATGTGGTCATTTTTCTTTAGGCTCTTGGAAGGAATGTGGTCATTTTTCTTTAGTCTCTTCGGGGGGGGGGGGGGTTGTTCATTTGTCTTTAGGCTCTTGAGAGGGACGTTGGCTCTTATTGTAACCCTTTTGTGTCCACTTGGGAGCCAGATCGTGTGTGTCCGACTTGTCGATGGCGTGCATGCGCATCATGGGCGGGAGCTTCCAGTAGTTCTCATTCCGTACACGGGTGTGAGTCTAAGGGGTTCGGGGAGAGGGGAGAAAGGAAACCTGCTACTTATCCATAAATCCACCAACCCGTCTGTCATGCGTCGGTCCATCCGTCCATCATCTGCCCATCCACCCGCCCTTCCGTCCGTCCATATATCCATTCATCCAAATATCCACTTACCCATCGCCACATCCATCCATCAACCC